TATAATAATATAATTATAATAATATATATTTCTCCTAATCATAATAGTTAAAAAACATTTATCAATGTAAGTTTAAATTTAAGATAATAAAATTAAAGATTATCTACCAAAAATAGATTCATTAGATCAATAAATTAGAGCTAATTTTATATTGTTATAAATATTAATGAAAAAAAAATAACATTTCTTAAAGCAAATTCTAATTTTTAATGATTAACCCAATAATATTTACTAAAATATGAATTGCTGTGTACTCTTGAATGATCCTGAAATAATTTCAAAAGACTTTACTGAGAAGATAAAAATATATCTAAGTATGGGTAATTGTCTTAGAATATTTTTTTTGTTTATAAGAAATTAATAATAAATGCTAATTGAGAGATGATTTTATTGAATCTTAAAATGATAAAATTTAAAAGAGAAATTAAGTGAGTATTTAACAAGATTTATTCAAAATTAGTTGTAATTATTTATTGAATAAATTGATTTTACAAAATTAATAAAGTATTGATGAATTTTCCAAAAGCTTCATTTTTTGATGATACCAAATCAAATTTATGGATTAAAGAAGTAATTTAAGCATCAGATCCAATAATTAGTGGAATGTTGATAAAAAATTCGAAATTAGGAATTTAAAAAGAAGCCAACTACTTTATCCAGGATGGAAAATTAGCTTGTTCAAAAAAATATATAGATCTATAAAATGTTACTCTAGAGAAGATTAAAAACACAGGATTCAAATTGACAAAGAATCGAAAATCAGTTGAGTTTTATACTCATAATGAATAAGCCTTAGGAATGTGGTATGATTACCTCAAATCATTTTGTGTTTAGAAAGGGTTCAACAATGTCTATTCTATAAATAAATTGATTGGAAAGGGGAATTTCGCAAAGGTAAAGCATTATCAAATAAGCAAAGGTGTACAGTGCATCCAAAAAAAGTGATCACTCTATGTATGCTGTAAAGGCTTTCGACAAGTTGAAATTTTAAGATATTCAAGTTGATAAGGTAGAAAATAAATATAAGTAAATAGCCGGCTCTCATTAAGGAATTATCTATAATGAGAAAAATGGATTTTGTTGGTGTAATAAAATTATATGAAGTTTTTGAGAATGACAATTATATATTTTTGGTTTGTGAGTTGCTAGAAGGCGGAGAGTTGTTTAATCAAATGAAAGGTAAAGTTTATGATGAGAAAACTGTTGCTCATATAATGTTTAGAATATTATAATCAATTGACTATATTCATTCTGTAGGGGTTCTACATAGAGATATTAAGGTAATGAAAAATGATAATGATTTAGCCAGAAAACTTGATTCTAAGATCGAAAAAGGATATATCTGATTTAGTAATTGCAGATTTTGGTCTAGCTGATTTTTACAATATAGATGGTGATTACATGTTTAAACGTTGTGGAACTCCTGGATATGTTGCTCCTGAATTACTTCAAGATAAAATATACGATTACAAGATAGATATTTTTAGTGCAGGGGTGCTTATGTTCATCATGTTGACTGGTCATTCTCCTTTCAAAGCTAAGTCATATGATGAGATTGTGATGAAAAACTATCATTGTTAGATAGAATTCAATTTAATAAATAATTAACCACTAAGTGAAGAAGCTGTCCATCTATTAAAATCATTACTCGAAAAGAATCCAGAATTAAGAATCAGTTCTGAATTAGCTCTCCAACATCCATGGTTTTAAAAATAAGCCGATCATAAATTAATTTTGTAAATTTAGATAATATTTAAAAGGGCTGATTCTTACCCAAGACACAAAAAAAATTCTTAATTATATGCCAAAACACCTTTGATGGGATAAGAGCTTAATTAGTCTATAACTTCCCCGTTAAGTGTTACACCATAAATGAGGAGCAAATCTAATACAGCAGATATACAAAGGGAAGAATAAAATTAATCTGCTTCAAGATAGTAGAGTTAATCATTAAAAGTTTAAAAATAAGAGTGCATCTTAGAAGAAAATGATTACAATGTAAATGAAGAGGATGATATACCTCATAGCAATCAAATTAAAATGTATTAAATCTAGCCAAAATTGAAAAAGAGTATTTATTTATGAATTAAATTTAATAGATTAAGAGGAATTATAATCAAAAAACATTAAAGGGTCACTCTAATTTAAAGTTTGAATAAATAGTTTTGTAATAATGAATATAAAATTTATTTATTGAATTTTTATACTTTATATAGAAATCTAGAAAATTCTTCATTTTAACAGAAAAATACACGCAAGAAAATTAAATATTTAAAAAAAGACATGAAATTCCTTTTATTACTAGCACTAACATTTTTCGTTATTTCGTCAGAACAAATTCCAGAAGTTGATGGAATATTGTAATTAAGCCGTAGAAATTTCTAATAAGCTTTGGATTCACATCCAAGATTATTGGTCAAATTTTATATTGACACATGTGGATACTGGTATTGAATATCAATTAAAAATCAGCTAAAAAATGAAGCCTGTATTCATTTAATTGGCTTAAAGATTGAAGGAATATGGATTCGTTTTAGGAGAAGTTAATGTTTAAGAAAGTAAATCATTAGCAGCTAAATATGATGCCAATGCTTATCCAACATTGAAACTTTTTAGAAATGGGGAATCAATTGATTTTCCAAATTCTTCAGATTCTGTAGAAATATTATTTGAATTTGCATTGTAACATGCTTATGAACATATCACAAAACTTTATAATTAAGAAGAGGTATCATTACTATTTAAATTTTGGTTAGATTGATTTGTTTTTGAAAAGATCAAATGTTGCAGTTCTGAAATACGCATTTGATTAAGATGATTTATCATCAGTAACTTTGGATCACATTTAAGTAAAATTTGGGATTGTAGAAAATAATGTATTACGATAAGGTCATCCTCACAAATACACATTAATAAATAAGGATATTGAAAAACCACTTTATTATAATGGAGATGTAAATGGGTTATCAGAATTCATTTCAACAAAAGGGTATCCATTAGTATTCTCTTTGAATGAAGAAGAATTCATGAAAGCAGAAAATGAAAAGATTCCTTTGATTGGAATAGCAGGATAAAAAAATGGAGTTCTTTTTAAAAGATTTAAATACATTGCTGAATCATATGTTAATTCAACTCGATTTGTTATGATAGACCCAAGTCTTGAATTATGTAATAGAAGATTTGAATATTTAATTAAAGAAAGTCCAGTTGCTTAAAATACAATTTATTACTATGATTATGAGTACATATATTAAGTATATTAATTTAGAACAAAGAAAACAACTACTACAACATTTAATGATGATTCACTTGGAACATTGAAAAAAGCTGTTGAATCTTTAATAGAAGAAGTAACAAGACCAAAAAAAGAAGCATAGAGATTAGCAAAATTAATAAAAGGTGATGGTTAAGTACATAAATTGACAACAGAGAACTTCAAAGAATAAGTTTTTGAAAACCATAGACATATATTTGTTAAATTCTATGCCCCATGGTGTGGTCATTGTTAAACTTTAGCACCCACTTTTGAGAGATTAGCTAAAGAATTAAATAGGGATGATATAGTAATTGCTGAAGTAGATCATACAGCAAATCAATTTGATGATATTCCTATTGAAGGATATCCTACATTATATCTATTTATATAAGAAGGTAATACTAAAACAAGAAAGGAATATGAGGGAGATAGAACTTTCTAAGGAATGAAAGCTTTTTTAGAAAGAAATTTAGGTAAAGTTGAGAGTGGAGAAAAGAAAAAACATGAATTCAACGAAATAAAGAATGAAGGAACAGTCATTGAATTAACAAGTGACAACTTTGATCATATTGTTTTGAATAGCAAATAAGATGTATTAGTTAAGTTCTTTGCTCCTTGGTGTGGACATTGTAAAGCTATGGCAGAATCTTATAAAGAACTTGCTTAGAATTTGAAAGATAATTAAAATATACTTATAGCTGAAATGGATTGGACTACTCATTAGACTAGTTCTGTTGAAATCAAGGGATTCCCTACATTAATATTCTTTAAGAAAGGATAAGATAAACCAGAATAAATAAAGTATCAGTCAGCAAGAACAGCTGAAGCTTTGTCTAAGTTTATAGAAGAGAATAGTAGTTTTGTAAAGAAAGAAGATTTATGATTAAGTATAGTAATTCTAATTAAAAATATAAAAACATCTTATATTTAACATAGATAAATATTAATTCAATAATCATCACCTCTAGAAAGGACTTCTATACAGCTTGGTTTTAAGAATATAGTATGTTCATATTATGACACATATGAACCTCTGATGTCACAAAGTGGAGGATATCTATGATATTATTTATAATAATATACGGATTAATTATTCCTAGATCACATAGATTTTTCAATCCTAATAAATAATTTGTTTAGCCATCTCTATCTAAAAATCTTCTGCAGAATGCCAAAGTATCATAATGATTATCTATGTGAGTTAAAAGTGATTTGGCTTTTGGAACTCTAACAGCTGTAGGTTTTGCATAAAAGTCTTTCATATAATGTGAGCATTCCAAATCCTCATTTACATATCCTTTGCCTGTTGATCCAAATGTTTCAATTGCATATAATTCTCCTTCTTTCATTAAAGTATTATCATTTGATTTGACAATTGGAACACTTTTACCCCCATGAATATGATATTTACATATCAAATGTCCATTTAAATTTTTAACTGATTTAACTTTATAAACTTTTCCTCCAATTTCAACTTCATAACTTTCCATAGTTTCTTATATTGCTGCTCCAACATCTCCTAATCTAACATCAATTCCAGAATTTTTGATTCCAGTATCAGTTGCATCTTTAGCTGCTTATAATAAAGTATCATAAACTGGATTAAATGCAACAGTAAATGCACAATCTATAATCCATCCATCTACTTATGTTCCAAAATCTATTTTGCAAACATCATCATATCCTAAGATTGTATTATCTCCATTATTTGGTGTATAATGAGCTGCACAGAAATTTAAAGAACAACCTGTTGGAAATGCAATACCTGCATTTAATCCATTTTCCTCTACTAAATATCTATTCATATTTTCCAATTTTTCACATATATCTATCAATCTATACATATAATATAAATATTTACTTATTTCCTGGTTTCAATAATTTAGCCTAAGCATATTATCTTACTTATCTATGACATTCAGCAGCCTTTCTTAAAGATTATAATTAATGTTCATGAATCAAATCCTTTTCTCTCATTTCATCTTTACTGATTCTTGAAGACTTCTCACCCAAATATGGAATTTCTTATCCTTTTGGATAAACAGCTTAAGGAAACTATTTGGAAACTGGAATTGTTGGTGGTTGGGTTTATTTCCACTCCTTCTCTTCCCAATTTCCTAACTTTCTGATTCCAGAATTATCAACAAATCTTGAATTAGTCTATAATATAATTATCAATATATACTATGGGATCACCTTCAATGTAATCTGGTCCCAATTACTTTTTCTTATCCTCTATTATTTATTATTATTATTATTGAATTTATTACTATTTCTAGGCTTCTTAATTTTATTATATTAATTAATCTAAAAAGTCATCATCTGAATCAACATCCTTCTGATTCTTTTTGTTATTACCTTTGGCTTCTTTCTTTTTATTTTTATTCTTTTATGCTTTTTTATTTTGATCTTATTGCTTAGCTTCCTCTTTGGAAATCATAAATTAATTATTAATAAAAATAATTCACATATGTGATTAATTTAATTATACATCAAATCTGGTTCGCTTACCTCTTGAAATATGTCTTTATATGTTTTTTACTTAAGGACTTGGTTAAATATGGAAATGTGAAAGAGGACTTAATTAAGTAGAAGTGTGCCTCTTTTCATATGTCCTTCTTCGCTTCTCAACCTTTTCTTTTATTTAATCTGTTATATTTGTCTGCAAAATTGGTTCCAATTGGAAATGCTCAGCCTTCCGATGTAAATATTCATTAAAAATTGAATCAAATCTTATTCTATATAGTTTAACTTCTCTTGGTGATCTAAGAAAGCTTTCAAAGAATTGTTAATTTGCCTTTGGTGAAAAATATTTAGAATTCATTAATGTTATAAATAAACTTATTCATTAAATATTTTATTATGATAAAAAATTCATTCAAAAAGCTACAATTTAATAAGATCATTCTTTATATTACCAACTGGTATTATAAAATGTTCCAGCAAAACAAAATAACAAAATTGCCATAGTATAATAAGAATATATAATCAAGATTCTAATATGTCTTAAAAAGGATCACCAACAACAGTATAACCTAAAATGATTAAAATTCAATACCTATAAAAACTGCCTAATGTTTATCAGACCATATACTTTTTTGCATTTTACCAATGATCTTCCTATATTTGATGCAGAAATAGTTTTCTAAGTCAATTAAATAAAGCTTTTGATAATAAACCAATCACGGATTAAGAACCAAATAATAATCCTACATTTGTTCAAGTTTTAATAACCTAGAATAAATAAATGGAATATTTATAAGCAATCCATGTAGTATCATTTCTTTGAATGATATTTTGATTGATCTATCAATATAAGTTCAAAAATATCATTCTTCTGTTCCTGTATGAATATCAAGATATAAATAAAACTATCTTCTGAATTACTCTTCCATTTAAAGAGCAGATTATCGAAATAACTAGATAGCAAAAAAAAGAATATGGAAATATAGATCCAAATAACCAATGTATGGTTTTATCCATCTTTAATTAATGTTTGTATTCTGATTAAGAAACTTACATATAGTGATATTTAAACAAGATCAGTAAATTCAATATCAAATCCTTTTTCTATAACTAATGTATAGTATTTCCAAATACATCCAAAGTATCTGTTGATTTTTCTGATATCTTTCCAATTCATTGTATCTGGCCATACTTCCAGAGTTATTTGAAATGGTTCCCAAGGCTGTTATTAATCCAATTTTGAGTATGGAAAGCATGCCTAATGCAGCCAAATCAACGTCATAAAAAGGACAACGATTAGATGTTAAGACAATTGTATTCTGTAATAACTCTTAATTCAATAGAAGAGACAACTAAAGTAGAATTAGTTGATTCAGCAAATGATTAACTGTTTATACTTTAAGGCTATATCAAGTATTGTTTATGATTACGATTAAGGATGAACGGATTAAGTATTTGAAACCAAAAGTTATTCAAAAAATAACTTGTTTTGAAATCCCAGCTTTAAAGATGTATATGATAAACTTATACATGAAGTGGTAATTTACATCCCTAAATATCCGCAGAGAGCATTGATGTTGCAACTATTAATACAGATGCCAAAGCTGATCAAAGGGGATATAGAATGAGTAATATATAAATTTTTATAATANTAATTTGCCTTTGGTGAAAAATATTTAGAATTCATTAATGTTATAAATAAACTTATTCATTAAATATTTTATTATGATAAAAAATTCATTCAAAAAGCTACAATTTAATAAGATCATTCTTTATATTACCAACTGGTATTATAAAATGTTCCAGCAAAACAAAATAACAAAATTGCCATAGTATAATAAGAATATATAATCAAGATTCTAATATGTCTTAAAAAGGATCACCAACAACAGTATAACCTAAAATGATTAAAATTCAATACCTATAAAAACTGCCTAATGTTTATCAGACCATATACTTTTTTGCATTTTACCAATGATCTTCCTATATTTGATGCAGAAATAGTTTTCTAAGTCAATTAAATAAAGCTTTTGATAATAAACCAATCACGGATTAAGAACCAAATAATAATCCTACATTTGTTCAAGTTTTAATAACCTAGAATAAATAAATGGAATATTTATAAGCAATCCATGTAGTATCATTTCTTTGAATGATATTTTGATTGATCTATCAATATAAGTTCAAAAATATCATTCTTCTGTTCCTGTATGAATATCAAGATATAAATAAAACTATCTTCTGAATTACTCTTCCATTTAAAGAGCAGATTATCGAAATAACTAGATAGCAAAAAAAAGAATATGGAAATATAGATCCAAATAACCAATGTATGGTTTTATCCATCTTTAATTAATGTTTGTATTCTGATTAAGAAACTTACATATAGTGATATTTAAACAAGATCAGTAAATTCAATATCAAATCCTTTTTCTATAACTAATGTATAGTATTTCCAAATACATCCAAAGTATCTGTTGATTTTTCTGATATCTTTCCAATTCATTGTATCTGGCCATACTTCCAGAGTTATTTGAAATGGTTCCCAAGGCTGTTATTAATCCAATTTTGAGTATGGAAAGCATGCCTAATGCAGCCAAATCAACGTCATAAAAAGGACAACGATTAGATGTTAAGACAATTGTATTCTGTAATAACTCTTAATTCAATAGAAGAGACAACTAAAGTAGAATTAGTTGATTCAGCAAATGATTAACTGTTTATACTTTAAGGCTATATCAAGTATTGTTTATGATTACGATTAAGGATGAACGGATTAAGTATTTGAAACCAAAAGTTATTCAAAAAATAACTTGTTTTGAAATCCCAGCTTTAAAGATGTATATGATAAACTTATACATGAAGTGGTAATTTACATCCCTAAATATCCGCAGAGAGCATTGATGTTGCAACTATTAATACAGATGCCAAAGCTGATCAAAGGGGATATAGAATGAGTAATATATAAATTTTTATAATATTAATATTACTTAACTAAAAAAGCTTTGGCTCCCTTACTTATTAAATATATAGTATTAAATTAAAGATATGTTCACAAATTTCTAAGATAGTTTCTATCTTCTTTTATCTATCTCCTTATCGTTTAATCCTTTATGATTATTATGTATTTAAACTTAATTTACAGAAATCCATTTAAATATTTACAAGACAATTCCTCATACGCATAAGCTGTAAAGATGGATATATAAGGGCAATTATGAATTCCATTATGTTAATAAATTAAGTCTTTTATCACGCACTAGAATAATAAATTATTCTTAAATAATCATTATAAAATAATATAGTGCGTATTTTGTCAACTAAATAATTTAATATTTGATTTAACCTTTAATTCTTTATTTTAAGATATAATTTTCTGATTGTAAAATAAGTTATTTATATAATAATGCTTAATTAAGTTCTGTAAGTGATTGGTGTGACTTAAAACGAAGAATAATAATTGGAGGCAATCTATAATGATTTTTAAAGACCTCCAAAAATAGATATTGCATTAATGCATGCTGCTGCAACGAAATTTGCTAGAACTGATCCAAATATTGATTTGGACAAAACAAATGTTTGTCCATGTTGTGGATTGCCTACAATAATAGAAGAGCTACCTTTATGTTCATCTCGAAAAGAATTCAGTTTCAATGGTTCTGGAATAGCATTATATTTTGACTTTCTTGTTTTTGCAGGTGTCATAATTTTTGAGTATATGTACAATATTGCAATTAATGCAGAGCTATAAGTTGTGGATACAATATATATGCAAACATGGAAGGACATAGATGTGATAATCTAGATGATAGTCAAAGTGAGAAATGTTAGACTAATTTTTTCAACTTATTTTCTCTTACAAATGATGATGGGTAAATGTTTATTATTACTATTAGTTAATTGGATAATATTCGAAGTCTTTTGAATTTTATATCTCTTATTTGCATCTTATTTACTACACTCTTCTACAGGAGACACATTAATAAAATAGCTATGGAATTGGATGACGCAGCCATTTTAGCATCTGATTACTCTATTTTTGTTGAAAATATTCCAAGAGATGCAAAAGAAAATGAATTAAACTAGTTTTTTATGCAAGTCTTCTAAAATGAAACTGTAGAATTAAGGAAATTATGTATAGCATATGAAATTTAACCCTATTTGAAGTTGAATAAATAGAAATAGCTTAAAGAATCTGTATTAACAAAGGTCTTAGAATTAGAAGCAGAGGGTAAATCAATTCCTAAATCTATTCCATCAAGATAAATATTAGAATAAGAAATAGCAACAATATCTAAAGAATTAGATTACATGGAAGATCATAAAGAAACTTTATTTGATTTTAGTGGTGTTTGTGTTATCTCTTATAATTATGAGAAATAGGCTGATAATGTATGTAAGACATTTAAATGTACAAAATTTTAAATTCTACTTGAATAATTGGGTTTTGAATAAAAGCATTATCAAAAGTTTCGTAACAATAGTTTATTTGTGAAAAAGGCACCAGAACCTGGAGATATCATTTGGGGAAATCTTGGTATAACAATTAAAGAATAATATAAAAGAACATTAGTAACTAATGGAATGACTTTATTTCTACTTATTTTAGGATTCGGTTGTCTTTTTGGATTATCTTACATTTAATCCATTGTAAACAATTATACTGAAGAAGGATCTCTTATAGATTCAATCATTGTTAATCTTATTGGAATAGCTTCATCTATTCTCATTTCAGTCATCAATGGTGTACTTGCAAAAATGATTGTTAAATTTGCAGAACTTGAATAATAAGCTACTAGAACTGATTATAATGTAAGTGTAGCATATAAAATGGGTGTTGCATAATTTCTTAATACTGCAATTCTTACCTTAATTATTAATCTTGTGATAAAGGATCAATCAGTGACACTTAATTAAGCCATTTGGTAAATAGGAGGTCTTAATTCTGATATCATGTTGATTTTCATTACTAATTCTATTGTACCATGGTTCATTCTCTTATTAGATGTCAATTACTTTTACAAATTATATGTCAGAAACAAAATTTTAAAATAGGGAGAAAATTGTAAATATACATAAAATGAAGCAAATCAGTATTTTATTTATCATAATAATAGAGCTTTTGAAGGTCCTACAATTGATTTATCATAAAAATATGCTTAGTTATCTAAAACTTTAATGTTAGCATTCCTTTATGCATCTTTATTACCTTTAGGTGTATGTTTTACTTTTGGATCAATTGTGTGTATTTATTGGACAGAGAAATATTTACTATTAAGAAGAGACTCTAAACCTGCACCAACTGGGAGTGCTATGGCAGAAGCTATGATAGATTTCTACATAGAATTGATCCTTATGCTTTTTTCTGTAATAAATCTATAATATTGAATATATAGTTAGGTTGTACTTTGTGGGAATGGATTAATTATGATCAAGTACATACTCTTACTTGGATTCAATTAGGACTTTCCACTTTACATTATTTAATTCCTATTCAATCTATTTGTGGATGTATTGTAGATTTAGGAATTGACAATGCTACTATTGAATCATATGATGAAAAGTTCTTAACTTTCTATGATGATTATGATCGTCGTAATCCTGTTACAGCTGATGCAGCTAAAGATAAATGGATTAAAATTTAATCAGAGACAATTTAAACAGCTTAACCAAGTTCAAAAAAGTAATTTTCTCTTTAATTTATAGTAATGTATTAAAAAGTTATCATTAAATCAATCATGTTATTACAGGTAGTACAAAAGTACATCCAATAGAAAGTAGAGATAGTAAAGATGAATTGCAACAATTAAAAATCTGATTTTTTTATATGTTTAGCATAGAATTTTAATTTTTACTTCTAATCTTATAAGTTATTTATATATTATGTATAGTCTTATAAATTGACTTTTCACTTTGAATCATCATATATTACCCAATAAATATTGATATAATTATGATTATGGAGTTTTTTCACAATTTGAATATGCACAATCAATCAAATTATAGGAATTCTCATTTTTTTTTAAACAGGCTAATTAATTTATAAACATTTTATCTTACAAAGTACATTTGAAAATGGCTTAATCTTAGTACCTTATTTAGGAGGTTTATCAACTTTAGGTCTACATTTATTTAATTATAATTGACAAGCATTGTCATCATAACATAATTTCAATTATTCAGGACATTTTTCTCTTATACATTATTATATTTCTTGATTTAGATGAATTCTTTTGCTCAATAAAATTGACAAAAATGACAATAAAATTGCAATTTAAATTAGTTTCATATATAAAAAATATTGAATAAAAAGACAATAGTATAATATCAGGCCTATCATTGTAATATTTTGCAATCATGGTTCATGCATATAAAATATTCATCATTATTAATTAAAATATATTGATTATTTTTAATATATTGTCATTAATCAATTTGTTATTATATGGGACCAATTAGATATTCAGCAATTTATTTCATATCATCTATGGTCAATAAATGAGTTAAATTATTATTATTATTTTGATTATCACATAATGAGAGTAATATAGCATTCTTTAATGCCTATTCCCTCTATTTCTTAAAATAAATATCTTAAATATATTATAAAACAAAATTAAGTGGTTCTCCTGACTATTTCTTTACCATATTGCAATAATCATATAGATTATTACCATTTTTATCTACATACAATAAAGGATCTGCACCATTTGCAAACATTAATTCCAATGTCTCTGTTGAAGTACACTTCTCTGGTGTTTAAATGTAATAAAGAGTTAATAAACTCAATGGTGTGAATCCATCACATATCTCATTAATATCATATAAGTTGTTTTCTATAAAATATTTTATAAGCGTTAGTCTGCCATTCTCACAAACTATATGAAGAGGTCCTCGTTTCTATTTATAAACTTAAATATGTAAGTTACGTATTTCTAAATTAAATAACTCTTATAGTCATAATTCTCTATTTAATTAATTATCATGAGATCTTTGAATGAAGATATAATCCCATTTGCTAATGTATGTCTCATAATTCTCATCTGATATATTATAATAACAATAATTATTTACAAATTCATCTTTCTTTTACTACTCTACAGCATAACTTGTAGAGTTCATGATTTCTTTACGTACTTATTGAAGGTGTTTCACTTATACGTTCTGCATTTATGTTATATAATAAATCTAATATTTTATTATAATTGAAAACACTCATTATAAATGAATTTTCATATTTAATAAGATTATAATTCTATAACTCATTTAATTTTAGATTCTATACAAATTATTAATTGTTAATTATTCCATAGAATAAAAATAATAATGACTATTTAAAGATAATATAGTCTGTCTTTAGAGTTATTATATAAATAATGATTAAGATTTTCCTTATTAGTATGTTATTATTTGCATCCCTCTCAAAGAAACATTAGACTATAGATGAAGATAATGTATGTTTAAATGAGAAATGTGGAGTTTAAATTAATGAATGTTTTGAAGATTACGAATGTTTTGAAGCTATATCTGAATGTGCTCCTTAAGAGAACCCCACAGTCTAGGAAATAAAGGAAGTAAATTTATATTTTTTAAACTAGGCTGAATAATGCGTTAAATAAAAGAGTGAGGCAGCAGAACAATTATTGGAATGTGCATAAAAGAAATGTTCAAAGAAAGAGTTGAATAAAAAGTAGATGAAATTGATAAAGAAATTTATGAATTTTGTGTGAATATATATGTTTAGATTTTCAAAATTAGACTGTTTTACAATAAATTTTTCGATTAATTTAAGATCGTAGTTTTTTATTTTCTTTATGCAAAATATTTAATTCTGTAATAATAGATTTGAGGTCCTTCTTTTCAACAGGTTGAGGTCTGGGTGTTTAAGAAAAAAAGGTATTAGGCTTTCGAATATAAGTGAATTTATTATTTTATTTAGCTAATTTTTGTAATAAGAATTTATCTTTCGTAAATCTAGAGATATCTAAATACCTATTGATTTAAGCATTTGACCATAGATCACCAATATTCATTGTCCCTTTAGGTTACAATAAATATGAAACCTGTTCTCTGGAAATTAGTGCCTTTTTAAAATTACTTGATATAAATATTTTCTTATCTTTCTTCAGTTTTGAAGGCAAATTTGAGATAAGTGAGTTCATTATCCTTCAAAAGTTCATTAAAATCCATTAATTTTTTGCTTCTTTCTTATTCAATGGAATGAAGTAATGCTGCTCTAAAGCGAGGACTATCTTATCTCATAATATTAAATAATTTATATTTATTTAAGGACTTAGATGAGACAGATAATAAATTTTTTGAAAAAATTAAAAAAAATCAAAATCTTTTTGCATGACTCAAGGAAAGAATAAGAAATTAGGAAAGAAGAAGGGATAAAAGAAAACAATTGACCCATTAGCTAGAAAGGAATGGTTTGAATTAACAGCACCTGTGCCTTTTAGTGCTGGTGGATTTGGTTTTACTTGCATTAATAAATCTGCAGGAACAGGTATTTGATTATAAATAAAATTTTTAGTTGTGGCCACAGAAGCAATTAAAGGAAGAGTAGTCGAAGCATCTTTGGCTGACCTTTAAGGACAATCAGATTAGATGGCATGGAGAAAAGTGAAATTGATTATAGATGATGTTGAAGGTACAAGATGCAGAACATCTTTCTATGGTCTTGATTCTACAAAGGATAAGATCTTTGGTATGATTAAAAAGCGATAAACTTTGATTGAAGTATTTAAGTTTATCATTCCTTTTAGACTTAAGTTGAAGCCAGATCTCAAGATGGATACATCCTCAGAATCTTTGTTATTGCATTTACTAAGTCAATTAAAAATCAATAAAGAAAAACAACATATGCTTAAAGAAGTCAAATCAAAGACATCAGAAAGAAGATTGTCGAAATTGTTCTTAAGGAAGTCTCCAAAAAATCAATTACTTAATTGCTTAATTTCTTCAATCAAGAGACTCTTGCCAAAGAAATTGGAAAAGCCACAAGAGCTATATTCCCATTATAAAACATTACATTAAGAAAAGTCAAGTTAGTCAAAAGACCCAAAGTTGATGGTATAATTATTGAATTAATTAAATCTAGCTTAAAAATTGAGAGAATTTTATGATGATTCTTAAAGATCAAAGACATCTTAAGTTAGAAGAAAAGGATAAGCTGAAGATTAAACTGCTCTTAATCTTATTAAATAAGGAGAAATTGACAAAGAATAAGCATAAGTCTAATAAGAATGATATATTACAGTATAAACAATAGTACATATATATAATTATTAACAAATTATTTATTATTATAATTAATATCTTCAATCTGATAACATTTCAAAAATAAAGATTTTTTTTTATTTTAATTTGAGGAAATAAGATGTCTTAATAAGCTCAAAAAGGTGGTAAAGGAGCATAACCTAAAACAGATGCTAAATAATAACCTGCAGCTTAAACTAAAGTTGCTAAACCATAAGAAACTAAAGAAAATGTGATGAGAAAAATTAGAATTGAAAAATTAATGGTTCATATTTGTGCTGGTGAATCAGGAGATAAATTGACTAAGGCTGCTAAAGTCTTAGAAGACCTTACAGGATAAAAGCCTGTATTTGGTAAAGCAAGATATACAGTGAGATCATTTGGTATTAGAAGAAATGAAAAAATCTCTGTCTTTTGCACAATCAGAGGTGATTAAGCAAGAGATATTCTTGTTAGAGGTTTAAGAGTTAAAGAAATGGAATTAAAAAAGAGAAATTTCTCTGATTCAGGAAACTTTGGATTTGGTATTCAAGAACATATTGATTTGGGATTAAAATATGATCCATACACAGGTATTCTATTAATATAATATAAATAGGTATCTTTGGTATGGATTTCTATGTAGTCTTATCTAGACCAGGACTTAGAGTTGCTCAAAGAAAATCAAGAAATTCTAGATTAGGCACATAATAAAGAGTAACTAAAAAAGAAGCAGTTGAATGGTTCAAATAAACATTTGAAGGAAATGTCTATTGATACAATACAATATTACATTAAATACATATAAATACAATTTATATGGTCATTTTTATATTTAACTAGGTAGCTTATTTAAATTCTCTTACCGTTATCTAAACTGTAGACATGAAAATATTTCATTAAATAATAAGTTCTAAATTAATTATTATATAAATGTCACTTTTTTCTAGATTTACATCCATTTTTGGCTCTAATTAAACCACTTAGGCCTCAAGCACTCCTATAAATTAATAATTATAAGAGAAACTAGCATAAATAATTACTTCAAATAGTAAATTAGATCTTAAATAAAAGGGTGAAGTTTTGGCATAATATTTATTAGATAGGGATGGTAAATGATAAATAATTAAATTATAGAGCATATTGAGTTTTTGTTCTAGTTTTTAGAAACTAAGTCTAAAGATCTTCAAGGAGTTCAAGTAGTCCATTTGTTGGCAGCTTTACATTAACAATTTTAATATAATGAAATAATATAAGATGTAGCAATTAAGTTAAGAGAAACAAAAATGCCTTGGGTTTAATTGGAAAAATAAGAATGGTATTCTACTTAAACTGAACCTGACTTATAAAAGAATTAATAAACATAAAAGATTTTGACTGAATTTGAAGATAAAGCATAACCAGCTAGAATATATGCTTAATTGTGTTATGTCTATTTATAAAAATTGGCAGCTAATGTTGATTTATATAGAGCTGTACTTAAACTGAATTATCCCTATGTGGCAGATAAAGAACAAATAGAAGCAAAATTAATGTTCTTATGGCATTACAAAATACAAAATTTGATAAATTCAGGCTTAATATTGATTTAATATAATCCAAATTTAATAGAAATATAAGTAGCTCTATATGTTGATGTATGGAGATTTCAGAAATTTATTTGTACTGAAATTGAAAAAATCATTGATTAATATGCTACTTTACCTAATAGTGATACATTAAGTTTATATGAAATTTATTGTGAAAGCATAAAACATTATGAATATCTTAATCAATTTCATTAATTTACTTAAAATATTACAAAACCTCCACCTTAATGTTAAATAAATAATTCACTTTTATAAGAATTCTTTGGATTTGTAACTAAATTAAAAGTGTTAAATCAATTCAATTTCAAAAAGTCTATTAAAGTTCCTAATAAATAAGATCCTATTATGGGTATTCCAACTAAAAATCCAAATGTATTATTTATATTTACCTTAGGTTATAAATATTAGGAGATCAAGTTAACAATTAAATGACTCATTAAGTAGTGAATCTGAAGTTGAAATTGATTTAGGAAATAATAAAAAAATGAGATCTGACCATAATAGAGGATAAAGTACATTTCAATATGTCTAAAAATGATTTATCTATTTTTATTGATAATTATAATTTAATAAACTTTATTATATAAATAATTAAGAATAGAATAATTATCATTAATCTAAGAACTCTGATAAATTGGAAACTATTTTATTAATAGATCATAAAACTATAATAGAATATATGCAAAACTATTTGCTTTATTTGATATAACAAATTCTGCTTAATTTGAATTTAATAACCGGGAATATATTGGCGGGTGAATAATATATTAAAATTATGGATATCACTAATTGTTAACATCCAAATCATGATTCTTAACGCATCAAATATGTTTGTGTTGATCCTTAATGTTCTATTCCTAAGAAAATAGGTATTATATAATTGAAATTTAAGGTTGTGCTGATTGTTTTCTTGATGATCATATCACTCATATTAGAAAAACAACTACTCAATTCAAAGATTTTGTAAATGAATCTATATTACAAATCAATGCAATTGAATTCTAATAAGCTACCAATTCACCATAAAAGGATTTAACAAAAGAAATTGATGGAGAATTAGACAACTGCATTGAATGTATTAAATTAAAATTCAATACAATTAAAGGAGATCTAAAAGGACAAATTGATAATGATATCATCAAAATGTAAGATAATTGTGCTTAATTTTAATAAAATATGAATAATGAACTTCAACCTTTTAGAACAACAATCAAAAATGATTTACATATTCTAAATTAAAATGAACTAAATTCATTAGTTAAATTTTATTAAGAAGCACCTAAAATATAAAAACATTATAATAAAGCTGCAGAATAAATATAAGAAGAAAAATAAAAGATAAAATAAAAAAAATAAAAATACTTAACAAAAATGCGTAGTATCATGCAAATATTACTAAAGGATTTTAATGAATTAATGACAACTAAAAATGTATAATATGATGATTACTGTGATTATGAAACACCTTAAAAATAAGTTATGTCGCCTAACAAAATGATTAATCTAGTAGAAACAGCACGTTCTTCAAGAAGGTTTCCTATATCACAAATATAAAAAAAATAATTCTTATCTGCTGTTACTAAAAAGTTGGAATGATAATCTAGTTTATTTATATATATATAATTAAAATCATTTATTTTAAGCTTTTTTATAATCTTCTTTACATCCTTAAATAATCTTTTTGAAATCATTTAAGTACAATGATATAATTTTTAATTTCTACATTGCCTATTAACTTTTAATTTCATAATTATCTTCTTCTTCTTCTTCTTCTACTTTTTCATCTTTATTCTATTATTTCTTATTATCTTCTTTCTTCACCTTTTTATCATCCTTTTTATTATTCTCTTATTTTGTTTCTTCCAATTCATGTTTTATCTTCTATGTTCCTTCTTAACATCTAATAAATAAATTATCTATAGCCATTAGAATTCTTCCTAAACTTAAATTCTTAGATGATGCTTCATTTGCAGATGCCTCTACTAATTATTATAATTAATTTCTCTCTGCTATCTTTTCTTCTAATTTCTTTTAGAGTTCTTTTATATCATTATTTAATTATAATATTTCATGATTTTTATCCTTCTCATATTAAGTTGATTCATATTTTAATTTTTCATATTCTTTTTCCATTGCTTAATGTTCTTCTACTAATTTAGAATTCTAACTTGACAATGTACTATGTCTCTCTAATATAGATGCCATATCATGATATTATTCTGGATATTATTTTGCAACACTATCTAAATATTCTTCATATTTTTTCATTGAAGTAACTGTCTTTATATTAATCTAAACATACCCTTCTTTTCTAATTTTTATTATTTCTTTTCTAATTCCTATAATTATGCTTTCAAATCTTAAATTTCTTTTTCTTTCTATATTTTTTATCTTCTTTCTTCCTCTAATCTTCCTTCAGCTCTCTTCTTTTTTGCTTCATTATCCTATAAAAATTTGCAAAATTTAATTAAAGACTCTTAAATTTCCATATCCTTTTATCTAATTTTTTCTTCCTCTTATTTAAACTTATCTTCCTATCTAATATTTTTCTTTTAATTTACTTCTTAAATTCCTCTCTTTATGCTTCAAATGCTTCATGCACTTCATACATCTTTCTTCTCTTTTCTAGTAATTTAGTAGCTGGACTTACAGTATCATATTATAAATGACTAGGTAATTTTCTTTTCTCTTATTTATTCATAAATATTATATAAATATATTTAATTTCATTTAATTTTTTATTCTTTCGATTTACCCAATTCACCTTTACAATTATCAATTATCTTTTTGAAATCTGACATAAATTATACTATTTATTTCAATTTCCAAGCAGCTTATTAACCTAAAATAATAAATTATTATTAACTTTTTAATTCATAATTATCTTCATCATTAAATTATAAGTCTTAATTTTATATTTTATTATTTGTAATTTTATCTTTCACTTTCTCTTTATTTTGTTTATCCTACTTATACTCTTCAAAATCCTACTTCATTCTCTAGGTTCCTTCCTAACAACGTGTAAATAGATTATCAACAGCCATCAATATTCTACCCAAACTTAAGTTTTTAGATGAAGCATCATTAGTTGTTGCTTCATAAACACTTTAAATTTAATTTCTTTCAGATGCCTTTTCTTCCAACTTCTTTTATAAATCCTTAATATCATTATTTAATTAAAGAATTTCATGATTCTTCTCTTTCTCATATTAAGTTGATTCATATTTAAGTTTCTCAAATTCCTTCTCCATATTCTAATGTTCTTCAACTAACTTTGAATTAGAATTTGTTAATGTTGCATATCTATCTAAAATTGATTATAAATCATGATATTATTCTGGATATTACTTTATGATACTATCCAAATAATCTTCATATTTCTTTAAAGATGTAACTTAATACATAAGAATTAAACTAGTTTACCTTTCTTTTCCAATCTCTATTGATGTCTTTATAAATCAGTCCACTATGCAGTTAAATCTTATATTTCCTTTTCTTTCTATTCTTTATATGATTTCTCTTCTTAAAACCTAACTAATGCTCTCTTTTTCTTTGCCTCATTCTCCTATAAGAAATTACAAAACTTTATCAATTCTTCTTATATCTATTTGTCCTTTTCTCTTATTTATTCCTCTTATTTCTTAAATTCCTCTTCCTATCTTTTAAATTCTTGAGTAATATATATACTTCTTATATTCATCTTATTGATGTTCATATGCTTCATGTATCTCATACATCTTTCTTCTCTTTTCTAGTAATTTAGTTGCTGGAGAGGCTGCATCAAATTATTTGACTGTAGAAGACTTTTTAATAACTTTTTTTTACATAAATTATTAAAAATGAATTTCTTACGTCCTCCCCTAACTTCTTTTATAAAAACTCTTGCTGATCCACAATTAGAATCAGAACAATTTATGATTGGTAATGAATCTATTACAAGCAAGAAGGATGTGATTAGATAGTTATAAGAGTAAATCCTATATTTTAAGGAGGCTCATAATTTTACATAGTCAGAAATAGAAGTGATAAGATAATTTGAATCACTTCTAGAAAGCAAACATAAGAGAAGAACCAATGACATTCATTATCATAGTCAAATTACAGATTTGACAAGGAAAAGGAAATCAGAGTTATTTAGAATGAAGCGTGCAAAGAAAAGAGCTAAGATTAAGGTATATGCTAAGAAACTTAATGCAGCAAAAAATAGATTTCGTATATTGGGTTAATTCATATCAAATGAAGAGATTCAAATAATAGATGAAACTTTTGGATCACATGTCTTTAGCGACAATCACAATTTTAATCTTAAAATTGGAAGAGCATTAAAAAATAAATTTGGATATGAATATTATGATAAATCTCAAGTGATTAAAGAGATTAAAAGATTAAAGAGATAACAAGACCAGATTTTGAGTCGTATATAGGGAAAGAAATAAATATTTTGCATAAAAACTAAATAATTAAAATAATGAATGAATTTACTTAATTATACTATTTCAAAGTGTTTTCTAATAAAACATTCTTGAATATTTTCATAGTGTAGTCAAGAATACATATTTCGTTGCTCACTTCTATTTCCTTAATTATTGTCATGTCATCATAATTTGATATATAATAGATAATCTAAAATAAATGAATGAAAATCAAAAAATTTTAGATAATATATTATGAATTTTAAATTACTGAAAAGAAATACCATGAAGACATATTAATGAGAATTAAGAGGGAAAATTTAAACTAAATATATTTACATTTATTAAGGCTTGTGTATAATCAATAAATTAAAATAATCTAAAAAAAAAGAAAATGGTTTAATATTCAATTGAATAATAGGAGAAATAAGATGAGGTATTATTTATATATATATAAAGATTTAATTTACCTATTATTTAAATTAAATATTATGCTTAATTCAATAGAATGTTTTATTGAAGTACTCCAATTACAATAACCTTGCGATGGTCTTGTTTCAGAAGTGTAACAATTCTTAGATTTCGATATGAACAAAGTGTTACAACAAGATCAAAGGAAGATAGTGCAAGATCCTATGTATGAAATTGTCACTAGTAGCTTTTAGATTGCTAATAAATTGGTTCAATTAAATAGAAGATCATTTATCAATAAAATAAGATGAAAATGATACATATATTACACCTATGATATAAGTTTAAGTGATGTTAATCAATTCTTTCATTTACATTTCAAACTAAAATTTACTTTAAGAATATTTTTATCTATTTGAAGTATTATAAAAAAAAATACTATACCTTAAAATCTATTAACCAAACGAATTGACATTATCTGCTTTAGAACAATGCTATAAATTTGAATAGTGCATAGATTGTAACAAAATCTCATAAATTAGCATGCTGATTTACAAAATTAATTAATTCAATTCAAGTGAAAAAATAGATCAATTTTATCAATTTATTATTAAATTTGACTAAAAAAAACATAAATTAGTTGATTCATAAGCAAACTTAATAATATACTCTTACTATTTAATCTTATAATAATGTTGTCAATTAGTAGAGGAGAACAAAAATCTTGAAACTGTAATATCAGTTTGTCTTAATATCAAAGAAGAACTTAAAAAATCTGATTAGAATTATCTCAATTAATGTAATTAATGTATCCTACTATCATACTATAAATTAAATAAAATAAATGATTTTATTCAATATAGTAAACAATATGATTTATAAAAAACTACTCCACTTGAAATATAATTACTTATATTAATTGTTAAAATTAAAGAATTTTAATCAGAAATTGATTTTGAAAAAGTAAGAAATTAGGTTAATAAGATGTTTTAATAATTCTTAGATAATAATTTAATGCATTCTGTTACTGATATTTTGATTCTCCTTAAAGAATTAAGTTAAAATATATAATTATATCCAATCAATTTTATATTAATAAATCAATGGTTTCAATTTAAATATAATTTAATTCTTAGAGCTTCAAATTAATAAAATATAATAAAATTAAGTAAAGACATTCATTAAATGCTCTTAGATTTTCCTTAATTACTAAATATTAATAATTATAATGATGATTAAATTACATTATTAAATCATAATCTTATAGGAAATGTAATAGATTTATGTTAATTGGTTTTTACAATAGTATAACATATATAAAAATATTAAGAAGTATGTTTAGATGAGTTTTTTCATATGATTTTATTGATTATTCCTAATTTTGCTAATGATTCTAGATTGACTAAACAATTTGGTTAATTAATAACTTTATTATCAAATCTTTAAATAAAGGAAAGTTAAATTTTATAGCATTTAGCAATGTTCTTAAATTTAGAATTTGGTATTTTACCATAAACATAAACAACACTATTTTAAAATCTCTTAAAAAATTATAAATCAGGTATAATAACAGGAACATTATTATTTTTAAAAGAATTTTAGAGTAATAATAAATAAGAAAATAGATTAAATTTATGTAAATAATTAAAATCACTTCTTGAAGAATCATATTAATTAATTGATTCAAATTCAATATTATTTTATGCAATCCTTGAATCTTGTATAAGAAATTAATAAATTTATTATTATTAGATTGTAATTAACTTTTTTGTAGAATATAAACCTACTTTAGATTAACATATGTATTATTTCTTATTGAATTTTATTGAAAAATGCATTAAATAAAATGATACTGCTAATGTTGATTAATTATATTAGCTATTATATTAATATATTGCATCTAAGAAAAGTTTACCTATAGATCTTTGCAAGTAATCTTACAATATGTGTACATTTGATTAATCAACATTAGCAAAATAATTAGTAAAACTACATACTTTTTTTATGATTTCTATGTAAATGGATACTTGTACAATATAATTCATAAAAGATACAGTAATGGGAAATAATTAATATAAATATTAATGGAAAGTAGAAAATAATAAATCATTATTTATTATTGTTTCTGAGATTTTAGAATAAATATAACCAGAATCATAATTTAAATTGGAATTAATTAATATTAAACATCTTTTTGAATTATTTTTCTATTTAATAGAATAAAATACAAAAATGGAAGTAGATAAAGTTATTCCATATTCTTTAAGATAAATAATAAAAATGGCTTATAAAAATAAATTAGATGATGTAATTTATATATTTATTATAGTTTGTATGTAAAATATTGTTAATATCATTTAATCATGAAAATCTATTTTTGTTTCTTCTATTGGAATTATAATCTTATGAAGGGAATAGATAATTGATGATATTAAAGAAATTTATTTATGAATAATAAATACCATTATATGGATATTTATTAGTAATCTGTTAGATAGTTGAATAAAGTGATACATTAGAGACTATATTAGAGATGTTACCATAATTAAATTAGTATAATAATATAATATAATAAATAGAATATTAAGAACTACTCCAGTAGATGATAATTTAAAATAATTTACATAATTACTATATTTGAAATTAAATGCTTTAAAAGAATATGTTCCGATTGGTAAAATAGATATGATTTGTTAATCTATTAGTTTATTGTCTATATGAAATAAATTTAAGTCATTTCTATTTCTTTTTTTATTTTTTAACTTTCTTTTTCTTATTTTTATTTTTTATTATTTTTTTATTATTTGATTTTTTATTAATTGGATTCTCTTTCTTTTAATGTTTCTAATTAACTTCTTCATCTTCTTCTTATTCAATTGGTTTTTTCATTGTTAAAATATCATCATCCAAAATTTCTTTATGATCATCGACCAAAGCAATAAATTCTTCTTCTCCTAAATTAAATACTTAAAAATTATTTTCATTTTCTGTTTTTTGATTAGATTTTTTATTACTATCAATTTTTTCAGTTTCTTCACTTACATCGTAATATTCATATATACTCACAATTTCCTCATAACAATCTTCAGGTATATCATAGTTCTCAATTAAATGTTCTAAATCCATCTATGATCCTAAACTAAGTTCATCTGGATCTTATTCATCATATTCATATATCACTTCTTCATAATATTCAAAAATTTCTTATAATTATTAATTGAATTACCTTCAAACCATTATTCTTAATCATCTATAATTTTTTTAATCTTCTTAATTTGATTATATTTGTTACTCATCTATAATTATATTTTCTAATTATCTTTGCTCATATCTCTAACATAGTTAATTTAGAATACTTGAAATTACTGATGTTTCTATAAATGTAATCAACAAACTCAACAGCAAATAATTCAATTTCATATAAAACGTATATTTAATATTAACTTTATATGATTAATTTATATATGCATAAATGATAACAATTTATTAATAAATTTAAGTAGTATATATTAATTCTATCTTATTTTACATAAATTATTATTATATATATATTAAATGTCCTCCAAAAATTACAAAATTATCCATTAAAAAATGTCAAATACTTCAAGATATCGTGATAATCCTTTATCTATTAATAACAAATATTAAGTATTTCTTGTAGAAGACAGCACAAGAGTAACAGATTTGATTGAAAAAGATAAATAAATCCCACATATTTCTATGATTGATAGATTCTGGGGTCATAAAACATAAAGACTAACAGTAAATCCACTTGTTGAATAGAAAGAATGTCAATAAGATTAATAAAAATAAATAGATAAATAAATAATTACAGAAGATATACCTATAAATACTTAATTACCTATTTTGAAAAAGAGTATGAGTTTAAAGAAATTTAAAGAGAGTTTAATATTTGATGAAAGAAAAAATTCAATACCTAAAAGTACTAAATAAAATCCAATTATTGATACTTTATTAAGAGATAGTGATATATTTTTGAAAAAAGGAGATCTATTAGAATAAGTTAAGAATTTAAAGAGATTGTAGGTATTAAAGAATTACGAAACCCATCAGTAAATTTAATATTATAATAATAAGTGTGAATTTACCTGGAGTAGGTAAATTACCATATATTATAAATGACTATCATTCAAAAAGCACAAATCCAGGATATTCAAGGAATAATAAGGGGAATTTTTTCACCAGATGAAATATATATATAAAGATATTTTTTAAATTAAAATTGCATGAGCCGTCCTTCAGCTTCAGCTTCAACTTCAAGTAGCAGTAGAAGTTCAAGATCTAGATATGGAAAAGAAGTCAAAGAATTATAAGATGCCTTAAATTAAAACAAAATAGAGTCTAAAAGAGATGCCATCAGAAAAGTACTTTGAATTATAATTCTTAGATTATTGATGCTATGACAAGAGGCAAAGATGTTAGTATGTTATTTCCAGATGTAGCAAAGAATATGGAAACATCAAATTTAGAATTAAAAAAGTTAGTGTACTTGTACATAATCAATTATGCCAAAATTATGCCTGATCTTGCTGTTATGGCTGTCAATAGTTTTCGTAAGGATGCAAGAGATAAGACAAATCCATTTCTTAGAGCTTTAGCTATCAGAACAATGGGATGTATTAGAGTAAAATTAATCACAGAATATTTATTGGATCCTTTAAAAGAATCCATAAAAGTAATTAATCTAAATATATTATAAGGATGAAGATTCATATGTAAGAAAGACAGCAGCTATTTGCATTTCTAAATTATATGATGTATCACCTGAACTCATTGAAGAATAAGGTTTATTGAAACTTTTGGAGAATTTGTTGAATGATGGAAATGCAATGGTTGTTGCAAATGCTGTATGTGCATTATTGATTGTTCAAGAATCAAAAGGAACAACTATGTTATAATTGAATCCTTATACAATTTAAAAAATATTGACAGCTATGAATGAATGCAATGAATGGGGTGTTATATATTGTTTAGATGCTTTGGCTATGTATATTCCTGAAGATGGAAAAGAAGCAGAAGCGTAATTTATAATTATATTTTAAGAATATTAGAAAGAGTTAGTCCTAGATTAAATCATAATAATCCTGGAGTAGTATTATCAGCATGTAAAATTATGATGAAATTTTTGGATTATCTTTAAAATCCAGAAACTATTAGATAAAATGCACTTAAAATGACTGCTCCATTGATTTCACTTTTAAGTTTAGGTAAAGAACCAGAAATTTAATATGTTGCATTAAAAAATATTAATTTGATTATTTAAAAGAGACCAATTATCATTGAAAAAGATATTAAAGTATTCTTTTGCAATTTTAATGATCCAATATATATCAAATTATAAAAATTAGAAGTCTTATCAAAATTAGCTAATAATGATAATATTCAATAGATTTTACATGAATTAAAAGAATATACTTAAGAAGTAGATGTAGAATTTGTAAGAAAATCAGTTAGAACAATTGGAAGATGTGCTATCAAATTAGAAAAAGCAGCAGAAAAATGTGTTACAGCTCTATGGGAATGTTTAAAAACTAAAGTTAATTATGTTGTTATGGAAAGCATTATAGTTATTAGAGATATATTTAGAAAGTATCCTAGAAAATATGAAATGATTCTTAAAGATTTATGTGAAAATCTAAAAAGTCTTGAAGATCCAGAAGCAAAGGCCTCCATGATTTGGATTATTGGAGAATATGTTGATACAATAGAAAATGCTGATTCTCTTTTAGCCAATTTCAGTGAAAAGTAATTTTGATATTTAATTATAAGTTTTAAAGATGAACCTGCAAATGTATAACATTAAATTTTAGTTGCTGTTATGAAATTATTTTTATAAAGACCTAATGATGGAAAAGAATTAATTCATAATCTATTAAAAACAGCTACTATTGAATGTGAAAATCCAGATCTTAGAGATAGAGCATATATATATTGGAGAATGTTATCTACTGATCCAGAATTAGCTAAAAAAATAGTTTTTACAGAAAGACCAACTATATCTGATTCCAGTTATACAATTGAAAATGAACTATTAGATAAATTAATAGAAAATATTGGAAATTTAAGTTCTGTTTATACTAAAAAACCTGAAAGTTTTGTTAAAAAATTAAGAGATGTTTTAAATTCTAAAATTGCTGATAAAATTGATGATGTCTATGATTAAGATTAATTAATGGAAGGAAAACCTGAAGATTATAGTGATTAATAAGGAGGATAATCAAATGTTTATGAAAATAATTATGATACATCATCGTAGATTTAATCTTAAATTTAATAATCATAAATATAATAAGTTTCTTAAAAAATTGATTTATTAGAATTAGATGATAATTAACCATAATAACCATAATAANTTATATTTTAAGAATATTAGAAAGAGTTAGTCCTAGATTAAATCATAATAATCCTGGAGTAGTATTATCAGCATGTAAAATTATGATGAAATTTTTGGATTATCTTTAAAATCCAGAAACTATTAGATAAAATGCACTTAAAATGACTGCTCCATTGATTTCACTTTTAAGTTTAGGTAAAGAACCAGAAATTTAATATGTTGCATTAAAAAATATTAATTTGATTATTTAAAAGAGACCAATTATCATTGAAAAAGATATTAAAGTATTCTTTTGCAATTTTAATGATCCAATATATATCAAATTATAAAAATTAGAAGTCTTATCAAAATTAGCTAATAATGATAATATTCAATAGATTTTACATGAATTAAAAGAATATACTTAAGAAGTAGATGTAGAATTTGTAAGAAAATCAGTTAGAACAATTGGAAGATGTGCTATCAAATTAGAAAAAGCAGCAGAAAAATGTGTTACAGCTCTATGGGAATGTTTAAAAACTAAAGTTAATTATGTTGTTATGGAAAGCATTATTGTTATTAGAGATATATTTAGAAAGTATCCTAGAAAATATGAAATGATTCTTAAAGATCTTTGTGAAAATCTAAAAAGTCTTGAAGATCCAGAAGCAAAGGCCTCCATGATTTGGATTATTGGAGAATATGTTGATACAATAGAAAATGCTGATTCTCTTTTAGCCAATTTCAGTGAAAAGTAATTTTGATATTTAATTATAAGTTTTAAAGATGAACCTGCAAATGTATAACATTAAATTTTAGTTGCTGTTATGAAATTATTTTTATAAAGACCTAATGATGGAAAAGAATTAATTCATAATCTATTAAAAACAGCTACTATTGAATGTGAAAATCCAGATCTTAGAGATAGAGCATATATATATTGGAGAATGTTATCTACTGATCCAGAATTAGCTAAAAAAATAGTTTTTACAGAAAGACCAACTATATCTGATTCCAGTTATACAATTGAAAATGAACTATTAGATAAATTAATAGAAAATATTGGAAATTTAAGTTCTGTTTATACTAAAAAACCTGAAAGTTTTGTTAAAAAATTAAGAGATGTTTTAAATTCTAAAATTGCTGATAAAATTGATGATGTCTATGATTAAGATTAATTAATGGAAGGAAAACCTGAAGATTATAGTGATTAATAAGGAGGATAATCAAATGTTTATGAAAATAATTATGATACATCATCGTAGATTTAATCTTAAATTTAATAATCATAAATATAATAAGTTTCTTAAAAAATTGATTTATTAGAATTAGATGATAATTAACCATAATAACCATAATAATAATAATAATAATAATAACCATAAATATAAACATAAATACCTACTTAATCTATTTAAAATATTAGAATACCATTTGCTGAAGTATTGACTGCTAATACTCCAGGTTCACAAACACAAGTTTAAGGTCTATAAATTGAAACTGCATTCCAAAAAAATGGTGATAAAATTGTACTTGATCTAAAAATTACAAATAAAACATAAGATAAAACATTCTCAGATTTTGGAATCAAATTTAATAAAAATCCATTCAAATTATAACCTGATACTATTGAAATATAATGTCAACCTGTATTTCCAGGTTAAACACAAATTGCTTAATCATTAATCAATACAAATGGACCTGCCTTTGAAGAACCACCATAAATGCCATATAAAATTTAAGTTGCTCTAAAAACTAATTTGGATGTATTCTATTTCTTTATACCAATGTCTTTAAGTGTGTTATTTGTATTATAAATATTAATAATTTTAGAGTAGCACTGCAAGTATCACTTAATAAAAATTCATAGAATTGAGTCAAGCATAAAATATAGCCAGAAAATAAGAAGTCCTCCAGATTTAAATTGATCCATAAAGAGTATTATATTCTGATCATAATTTTAGATGAAAGAAAGGTTGGAACGCAATTACTTTTTCTTAATTGGAGTGAGAAAAGATGAAAGGGGTGTTGAATTACTATCCTATGCAGCATCATTAGTTAATGGAATGCCATTATTGGTAAATGTAATCCATACACCAACAGCAATCAATTTGCAACTATAAGTTCCTCATCCCACATTAATGCCATTATTATATTAAGCAATAGGATTTATTTTAACATTAAATTGATATATATATCATAAAATCATCAAATTTATCTACATAAATAACTATCATATAATTCTTAAACATATATAATGAAAATAAAATTGAATATTGTTATTAAATATAAACTTCGATTAATTGTCGAATTTATATTTTCTAATATGATGGTCTTGATAATTTTATAATTTAACTTGCAAATAAATATTAATAAAAATTAATGATTGGTAATCAACATTTATTTAAAGAATAAGTATTATATCTCATAAGATACCTAAATTTATTATATATTATAACCAATATATATTTAATTGTATTTTAGACAGAAAATAATTAAGAAATACACCTTTTTGATAAAAGAATATTAAATTGTGGCTTTTAAATAATTTATTATAAAAATCTTGAATTCATATTATTGAATTACTGTCAAATAACAAAATGATTTAAATTCTATTCTTATCAACAATTAATGTAGGAATATATGTTTAAGAATAAACTTTTGTCTTCGTATTTAATAATTAAATTGTGCCTGATTATTTTCCAACCTATTAAATAAAATGGAATTAAAATCTAATTTCGGTGGCAAATCATCTTTAGATTTACATAAATCTTAGACAGATAAAGTATTAAATGAAATCAAATTAATATACTTTACAGTCACATAATTATTATTAAAGAATGAAGAACCCTCAATGTTTTTAAGCATTTTAGCTATAATTGTGTAGTTTTTTTAAGTAACATACATACTATTTAATCGTAAAATATGGCCAATATGGATGACTTATGATGTTTCACGTTAAATAAATAAAATTTTAGGGTAATACTATGATGTAAAGAAGATATTCAATGTTAGTTCCATACTTTGAAATGATTTCCTATATTGGATTGATTTCAATGATGTATACCTGCTTAGGTTTAGTGTTATTGGGTTACATGCTAATAATTTTACTCAATTATCGTTTACAATCGAGCTTCTCTTTGATAGTGCAAGTTTTGAGAGCTTTAATTAAGCTCTTTTTATCAATTTTATACATGCCAATAATGGATTTATTTTTTTCAATCTTAGCATGTGATAAAGATGAAAAAGGAAATTCAGTTCATTAATTATATTCAGATATTATATGTTGGGAAGGAACACACATAGTTCATGGAATTGTTTCAATATTTGGTATTTTATTTTTTTATCTTTTTTGTATCACATTTGCACTTCTATATTATGAACCTCGTTTTTTAACCAATAATCCATAATCAAAGAAAAATGGTAGATATTTAGCTATATTTTTAACTTATGAACTTGTAATGATAATTTGTTATACCTTCATAGTTGAGAAATAATATGATTATCTATTTATTTTAATAATTGGAATTGGAAGTTTTTTGGTTTTTTGGAAAATGCATGTTGAAAATCCTCATAACAATAAATATATAGCTAAAGCATGGTCTATTTTATCTGCAGTCAATATGTGGGGTGTTATTCTATTATGTTTTGCCAAATTTCTAGAAGGACAATTATTTTTTGGAACAATTTATGCTTGGTTATTTGGTCTACCTTTTATGACTGCAGCAGTATTGAAATCAGATAAATTAAATTATGAATTGTTATTAACTAATTTAAATAAAGTATCTGATCCTTAAGAAGTTCTTAATTTAACAGATTATCTAATTAAATTGCATAAAGCTTAAGACTCTGATTCATAATTAATGATTGATGGTTTTCTTGAAATACATAGAGCTACATGTGCTAAAGAAGATTGTTATTTAAAATAAAAACGATGTCAAAATCAAAGAATTTAAAAGTCTTTTTTTAAAGATCAAACTTTAACAGAAAGAGATATTGATATATTAATGGTTTTAGGTTAAATCTATTTTAATTAAATTAAAAAGTTTCCAAATGAAATATCCTTAAGAATAAGATATTCGTTATTTCTTTTTGATCTTATGAAATAAAGATAATAAGCCATAAATGAATTACTTTAAGCAGAATAATAGTGTCCAAGTTTTGATTAAGAATTCATAATTTATAGATATAAATAGATTATAGAATTTGAGATGAATTTAGCATAAAATGAAAATACAAATGGTAATTTAGATGTTGCAACAGAATTAACATTTTAAAATAATATGAGATAATTTTAAAATAAAATAGAGAGAGCAACATTAATGCATATGGATTTTTGGTCATAATTATAAGAAGATTAACCTGATTTAGGTAAAATGAATGAAATTGGATCAAAAATTAATTAAGCTATTATTTAAGTTGAAGAATTATGGAATAAAATGTAAAAAATGACTTAAAATTTACCTAAAGCTATGAGATTATATGCTAAATTTATTATTGAAGTACTTTAAGATAAAGA